AGAGAGTTTAATACAGGAACTATTACTGAACAGGATTGAGGGAGGGAAAAACCAATACTGAGGTGGTGATACTGATACACAGAAACAAGAGCAACAGCAGCAGCTGTCATGACCTGTATGGCTAACTGAAAAGGGAACAGAAATGTTACCCAAATCCAGTAAGAGCCGAGAGCCATAAGAGGGGCTGCCCTGTGAAGCAACTACTGGTACATCTCACAGGGATGCAGCCTCTTCCACAGACAGAGTAAAAACAGGGGGAAAATAGTGATTCCTTCTCCTGCCATTGCCTCCTGAGTTAAATCACAGGAAACCAGCACACAAAGAATTGTGAAGCAGTCATCCAGGGGAAGCCCTATGGTGTCCAAGCAGGCCAAGAACAGACCTCGGCTTGAGGAGAGCTCAAGAGAGTAATCAGCACATTCTCCTGCAAATAAAACCCTGAAGGCTACTAGAAGAGATTTTAAAATCCTGAGCATTTAGACTATTTTCTATGCAGTGATTATTAATGTACATTCCAAATCTCTATTTCCATGTTACAGAAGTCTTGTGAAAATAAAGATCACTGTTTCCATATTTTGTTTTTGAGTTAACAAAAACTCTATTCTAAAACTCATAGAAATTAGAAGGGCCTAGGTTAGAACTTCACCTCCTTGTTAACTTGGGCCCTAACTGGTTTGGCTTAGTGCAGTGGTTCTCAACCTGTGGGTCGCTTTGAGAACACAATTCTTTATGTAAAAAGAATGATAGAAATTCTTTAAACTTTTTCAGCAATCAAGGACACTAAAATGTCATCTTAACTAAAACATACTATTAACTTTTTGCCATAAAAGCATCTTAACCCATCAAAGTTTGGTTCTCAAATGACATTACACAGCAGACTGTTTTCATGTTTTCCTACCACAAATATTTCTTGGTAAACCAGACGAAGTTTCATATCACATAGTCTTTCTATCACCACTCCCAATCTGTAGAGTACCTGCAACCCACTGATTAAACTTTAATCATTAAATGTAATAGGTTGCCAAACATTTAACTCCTTTAGTAATGAGCCCAGATTTCTATTAGACAGGCAGTATTTATAGTCTATTTACTCATTCCTAATGATTGAAACTAAACTATACTCAGTTCATGCTAGAAACTTTCTGCCAACAGGCAGCCTTATGATGAAAGTTTTGACTTTTTAAAAATATGGTTTTATTGATTTCAGAGAAAGGGAGAGGAAGTTAGCAACATCAATGATGAGAATCATTGATCGGCCACCTCCTGTACACCCCACCCCCTACTGTGAACAAGCCCGAAACCTGGGCATGTGCCCTGACTGGGATTCAAACTGTCATGGGTCATACGTTGACGCTCAATCACTGAGCTACACCAGTCAGACTTGACTTTAATGCTCACCTGAGAGAGAAACATCGATGTGAGAACACCCATTGGCTTCCTCCTTTACTTGACCTGACCAAGAATCAAACCCAAAACCTTTGGTGTACAGGATGACGCTCCTTGTTTTGGCTTTGACTTTCTTTTGACCCTGTCTTCCCCTCCTAAGACTAACAACCCACCTTTTCCAGTGTGGCCCCATGACCTACGGCTACAAGCCATAAGGCAAAGTGAAACCACATGACCTACACAGAGTTCCCATATAATGAGCTACCCAGTCTGAATCAAATGTTAAATTATAAACATTTGCACACAAACCTTTTTCTTTTAAAATAATACATAATAAACATTTCTCAAACAATATGATTAAGAAATCACCACTGATTTTGCTGTACAAAATATTTACACTATAGGGTTTCAATCAATTTTAATATAGTAACTATGTAAATGTCTATTTCCACTTCCATTACTTTTTCTTGAAATTCTGACACAATTATAAAGTTAAAAAGCAGAAAATGTTGAAGCACCAAATGTAACTTTATTTAGGATTTTAAAAGTCCTGAACCTTACCTTGGTTGTGGGCTCAATCCCCAGTAGGGGTTGTGTAGGAGGAAGTTGATTGATGTTTCTAACTATCCCTTTCCCTTCCTCTCTGTAAAATCAATAAAAATTTTAACTTGGAGTATTCTAGAGCCATGACAATAACATCTGTAAGGGCTTCAAGGTTCCCGAGCTCAGTCCCCAGTGTGGGGCGTGCAGGAGGCAGCCAATAGATCAGTGATGGCGAACCTATGATGCGCGTATCAGAGGTGACACGCGAACTCATTTTTTTGGTTGATTTTTCTTTTTTCAATGGCATTTAAATATATAAAATAAATATCAAAAATATAAATCTTTGTTTTACTATGGTTGCAAATATCAAAAAATTGCTATATGTGACACGCCACCAGAGTTAATTTAGGGTTTTTCAAAATGCTGACATGCTGAGCTCAAAAGGTTCGCCATCACTGCAATAGATGTTTCTCTCATCGCTGATGTTTCTCTCTCTCCCTCTCCCTTGCTCTCTGAAATCAATAAAAATATTTATATTTTTAAAATGACTCTTTCCCACTTGAAGTAACAAAAACCATCATAAATTTTCCTATATAAGAGAGAGTGCTTAGGCTACACAAAATTAAATGAGTACTGAAGACTAGGTATTTTCACTAAATAAAAATAAATGGTTAGTTAATAAAGGTTATGTATAACTGAGAACCAAAAAATTTGTGTATGTGTATCACATTTGATTTGGACTTATGTTAACCAAGATAATTATTTCATTAATGTTTAAGGTCAACCAGTAGTTAAGTTGAAACAACTCTATACTGAAAGTACAATCATCCATACCCATTAAGTTACAAGTAACAAATCACTAAAAAAGGTAAGACGTAAGTAATTGTTCAAATTTTTATTTTGATGCACAGTATGAGAAATGTACTTTTAAAACAACTGAATTTTATGGAGAATGAACAGCAAATAAGTTAGACCCATGTTAAAATGAAAGGTCAGCTAAATGTCTAAATTTAAGGATATAAGAACCACAGCTCAACTTCGATTCCACAGTCTTCTTTAAGAAGTCGAAGTCTTTCAAACAACTTTGCTATGAACTGGTCCAGAGCATAACAGCATATAGGAATGCTTAACAAGGGTGGTGATCAGGGACACGTTTCCTGCAAGGATTATACAACATACACTTTAGAAAAAAGTTAATAGTGAGAATGAAAAGCATGATTGTAACCAAAAGTTTATATTATTAAGACCCTTATAACCCAATTCTAAGATGTTTTTACCTAACATTCCTCAATTATCATTTTATTAAGAAGACTTTATTTATTTATTTTTAAATATATTTTATTGATTTTTTACAGAGAGGAAGGGAGAGAGAGAGTTAGAAACATCGATGAGAGAGAAACATCATTGATCAGCTGCCTCCTGCACATCTCCCACTGGGGATGTGCCCGCAACGCAGGTACATGCCTTCGACCGGAATCGAACCTGGGACCCTTCAGTCCGCAGGCCGACGCCCTATCCACTGAGCCAAACCGGTTTCGGCTAAGAAGACTTTATATCTATGAAATATGAAGGTCTATAGTAATTTAGCAGTTCTTAACTTCTTGTCCAAACAACCTACTTAAACAAACAGGTCATTTTCCAGAAAATGGTTAATAGGTATTTTCCAAAAAATGGTTAATTCATGTTTGCAACTACTATGTGTTAGGGAATTTTACTAAAATAGTCAAAGACAGTTACTCTTAACCAGAAACTGTAAAATGACAAGGCTTAGGAGCCTCCAGATGAAAATCTCTGGATCACTATTCTAACTGAAGGAAAAAAAAAAAAATCCAACAGGTAAGGTGGTGATGGGGTCAAGTAACTCGCCAATAGTACCTCTTACATGTTAAACTTTTATTCTCTCGTAACCATATAGTGAATGGCTCAGGAAGGTGGCATGGTAGGGGTACTAGTGAAATTATTTACTTAATGCCTGTTCAAGAAGCTAGGACTTGAGAAACACTGCTTCTAATAAACACAACAGTTACTAGTAAGAGAAGCAGAAAAGCATGAATACAGACTCAAGGAGGATAGCATACTGGAATCATATAAAGAGATAAATCACAATTGCATTTAGTCATCTTTGATGGCACTACTTCCAAAAAAACTTTGTCAGCTTCTCCTTCCTACCAATTTTCCATTTCAAAATATGGGAACTGGTGAGGGAAGTGCTTCTCATTATCCTATCTTCCCAGTACCAGAAGCAGGGAATCTCTAGATTTTTCATTCCAGTCCTCTTTCCACTACATCACAGTAGATTTAAATACCATTTCATCTGTTCTCTCTACATCCAAATCACTATTCTCTACTCTTTCCTTCCTCTAATAGTATTATGACAGTTGCCACTCACAGAAGTCAATGAAATGAACAATGCAGGGTTCTGCACAAAAAAAGTCATTTGTAACTTTGGGCTTTTAAGGTACAATTTCTTAGTAGCATTCCAACTTCCTTCCTATTACTCCAGATTAACTCCCTATGCTCCTGTCTAAAACCAACTCCTACTTTTATTCTCTGATCTCCCATTCCTTCTTGCAGCTACTTAGTGGACAGATCCCCTTTTCTGCATCTATCATTTCCTCTCTAGGAAATCGCTCCCTCTTAAGCTGAATTTTCAATGTCAAGACCCATACACCTCCTCTAGCTACTATCCCACTTATCTGCTCCCATTCACAGAACTCCTCAAAAAAGCGGTCTATATACACTTTCTCCAATTCCTCTTTTCCCACCCCCTCCATTCCACTAAAACTAGTTGTCAAGATTACCAATGGCCTATGATTAAATAATTTTTTCTAGTATTTTTTAAATTGATTTTAGTGAGAGGAAGGAGGGATAGAGAGATAGAACCATCAATGTGAACTATCAATCGGCTGCCCCCTACTGGGAAATGAGCCTACAACCTGGGCTTGTGTCCTGACCAGGAATCGAATCATGACCTCCCGGTTCATGGGCCAACTCTCAACCACTAAGCAATACTGGCTGGGCATTAAATCCAATTTTTAAGGTCAATTATCAGTCCTTATTTTACTTGACCTATTTGCATCATTTTGACAGTTGATCACTCCTCCTTCCTAAATCCTTTCTTCACTTGGCTTCTGGATACTCATTCTCTTGATTTTTCCTCCCACTGCAGTAGCAACCCCCCACTATTCCCACCTTTTGTATTATGGAAAATCTCAAATATAAAAGCAGAGATTATAGCATGAATCCAGTTTGAATCTTTCCAAACTGGAATTCTTCAGTGCTCAGTCCTTAAAACTGCTTTCCTTTTTTAATTACATTCACTCCCTTGGGGACTGGGCCAGTCTAATGGCTCTAAATAACACACATAGGCTGACAACTCCTACATTTATAACTATAGCTCCAACTTTCTCCTAAACTACAAAATCAACTACCCAACTCAACTATCAAAAGACATCTCAAATTCCCAAATTGAAATCCCCGTCTTCCCTCCCAAAGCCATCTTAGGTAAGAGAAATTCTATTTCTCCCTATAAAAACCTTGAATTAGCCACAATTCCCTTTCCTCTCACTTCTTGCATCCAACCCATAATCAAATCCTACCTTCAAAAAGTATGTATCTTTTACCAACCACTTCTCACCATCACCTTCACTTCTACCTCGTGGTCCATGCCACCATTCCCTCCCATCTCCCTGAACCATCACTAACAGGTAAAAATAAATGATTTTGGTAACTATTAATAAGAGTAACTAAAATTATTAACTGAATATTCAAGTTAAAATTTTCTTGCCATTTAATCATTTTAATGTGAATGACTTTGAAAAGAATTTGACATCTTAGAAAAGCTGATATAGGAACATGCAAGAAAGTCTGCTCATTATGTGCTTAAGAATGTCGGTATGGCCCTAGCCAGTTTGGCTCAGTGTCAGCCTGTGGACAGAAGGATCCCGTGTTCAACTCCGGTCAAGGGAACATGCCTGGGTTACGAGCTCAACCCCAGTAGGGGGCATACAGGAGGCAGCCGATCAATGATTCTCTCTCGTCATTGATGTTTCTATCTCTTTCTCCCTCTCCCTTTCTCTCTCAAATCTATAAAAATATATTAAAAAAAAAATGTCAGTATGGCCCTAGCGGGTTTTGCTCAGTGGATAGAGCATCGGCCTGCGGACTGAAAGGTCAAGGGCACATGCCCAGGTTGTGGGCTCGATCCCCAGTGGGGGGGCATGCAGGAGGCAGCTGATCAATGATTCTCTCTCATCATTGATGTTTCTCTCTCTCTCCCTTCCTCTCTGAAATCAATACAATAAAGGAACTACAGGAAACTCATCATTCTAAAAAAAAAAAAATAATGTCAGTATGGAAAAGTGTGCCCAGGACAGGAAATGAGTGGAGCTGATCCATTATAAGATATCAGCTCTTCCCCTGCCCCCAAGCTCTCTGGTTCTTGACCTTTCCAAACCTGGCTTTTTATGTGACTTTCAATCCTGAGAGCTCCCTGTGTCACCATACCCTACTCCCCTAAGCTTTTCTGGCTTAAATCTAAGAGTTGTGATTACATATTTTAAATAACTTGTGTAATTCTTTTATCTAGGCAAAAATGGCTACACTTTCTATCAACTACCATATCAAATATATGCAGCTACCTGTTTGTTCCCATGTCAATAAATTTTTTCTAAGAAATGTTTTATATTTTATAAAGTGCTCCAATACCTTGGTGCTGCTTTGATGATATTATCCACACGCAGAATCACCTCTGCTGCTTCAGCTGCACTCAGAAGAACTTGCCGTTTCACTTGGAAACTTTCTGTTATGCCCAGTACTGCCATATTGCCAATAGTACCTTCCTTCATATCCAGTCCAGCAGTTGTATTGCCTTCACTATGGGCAGCTCGGAGCTGTGCCACCAGATCTGCACTGTCATAGCCTGCGTTGTCAGCTATAATAGTAGGCAACTATGAAGTGGAGAAGACAAATGGTTACTATCTATTCTAGTATAATTCATTTATGCCTGCCCTGGCCGGTGTTGTCGAGTGGTTAGTATCAGCCCAAGCACCAAAGAGTCGAGGGTACAATTCCTGATCAAGGGCATGTGCCTGGGTTGTAGGTTAGATCGCTGGCCCCGGTTGGGGCAAAAAAAATCCTTGGGTGAAGATTAACAATAACAAAAACAAAAAACATTTATGCCTAACTAGGATAGCTTTTTAAAAATACATAACACTGTAAAATCTGCTTCCTTTTAATCACTACTCAAAGAGGATAAACTTCAGAATCAAATTTGGTTATTTTAATCCCCACTTGAGGATATTTTTCCCATTGATTTTTAGAGAGTGAAAGGGAGAGACAGACAGAGAAACACCGATGTTAGAAGAGACACATCGATTGCTTGCCTCCCACATGCCCTTGACCAGGGCCGGAGCCTGCAACCGAGGTACATGCCCTTGACTGGAATTGAACCCAGGACCCTTCATTCCGCAGGCCTACGCTCTATCCACTGAGCCAAACCAGCTAGGGCCAGAATCAAATTTTTTTGTCAATCCTCACCCAAGGATATTTTTCCATTGGTGTTTAGAGAGTGAAGGGGGGGAAGGGGAGAGAAAAAGAAACATCAATGTGAAAAAGAGACATCAATTGGTTGCCTCTAGCACAAGCCCTGACCGTGTGCAGGCTGGTGCTCTAACCACTAAACCACACCAGCCAGGGCCAGAATCAAATGTAAAAGTAGTGTGAACCAGTTCTTTTTCTTAAAGGCAAGAAAATAAGCATTTTGTGTCCAAGTTATAAAAATACTAGTGCCCCGTTGCATGGATTCGTGCACATTAAAAAGAAATTACATAGAAGGTGACTGGCGGGGCGGGACTGGGCGAGACAGACCGGACACACCCTGGAGCCAACCTCCCGTGGTCCCTCCCTGGCCAGCCACACCTCAAAGGGCGCGTCTGCAGAGAGTGGGATCCCTCTGGCAGGTGGGGTCCCTTGGCCTGGCCTGCAGGGATCAGGCTGAAACCAGCTCTCTGACATCCGCCAAGGGGTCCTGGATTGCCAGAGGGCGGTTCTCGGGTGATGCACCGAGAATTGGGCTCCCTCCTCTCTGGTGCCAGGGTGCGTCACCCAAGAACCGCAGCTGCCCAGTCACCACAGCTGCCAAGTCACCGCAGCTTGGCAGCTCCTGCGTTGAGTGTCTGCCCCCTGATGGTCATCAAGTGTCATAGCTACCGATCAGATGGTCGGACGGTTGCTTAGCCTTTTATATATATAGATATTTAATTAAAAACCATCAAAACCAACAAAATTTAAGTTCAGATCTCTTTTTAACTTACCATTCTCAGTGCTTTAGCATAAGACTCCATTGCAACAGCTTCTTTACCTGGTGTTTTATTGGCAAGCTGTGACACAGCATGAGCCATCAGCATCTCTGAACAGCCTATGGATTAAAAATTAAATAAAATACCATTATGCTTAGTTGTCTCGAAGACACTAAATTACTGACTTCCCTTAGATGTATCAAGCATTTGAAAATTAAGTGCAAAGGCAATATATAGTTTCTATAAGAACCATTAAAAACCACTTACAATTTATACTATACTTTAAGAAATAAAATGTTTTACCTCCTCCATAAACTGTTCTAGAATCCTTCACAGTTTGTGCAAGAACACAAAGAGCATCATGCAAAGATCTTTCCACTTCATCTAAAATTTGTTGAGTGGCACCACGAAGAACAATAGTGCAAGCCTCACCTAATGTTAAAAAATAGTATGTCACAATGAGCATTTAATTATAAAACATAAAAATTTGCCTTCTATCATTTATGTAAGTGTTGGTTATATTACTTTGTTTTGAAACTGATATGTCTTCTACTGTTACACATTCTCTACCAGCAACCCTTGTTCATAACAGTTCTAAATTACCTAAAAAACAAGTATGTTGAAAATGCACTGTTCCCAAAGATAAGAATATAAGGCTGACCTCAAAAGAGATTAAAATTAACATATGGCATTACTTCACAAGAATTAAGACACATCATATTCTAGTAACTATATGACTGTTTTGTGTGTGTGTTTTTTTTTTCATTTCAACAGAGCCTAGCAAAGATTTAGGAACCTAAACCAGGATCTACATGATCACTCACCAAGGGCTACCCCAGAAAAGTGAATGAGCGTGTCTTCTCCAATCATGACTTCCTCAATAAGCTTGCAACTTCCAAGCTTCACAAGTTCTGGGTGGTCAAAGGTAGAGGCAATTTCACCACCTACGAACATAAAAAATTGATTACTTATTATATGCCAACCACTGTTTGAAGCACCTATGAATTGGTTTAGACTTTATAACAACCTAATGAGATAGGTTCCATTATCGTTTAGAAATGATAAAATGAACTTGCCGTTTCACTTGGAAACTTTCTGTTATGCCCAGTACTGCCATATTGCCAATAGTACCTTCCTTCATATCTGGAAAGAAAAAGTTTATACTAAATAGACTATGGTTTTAACAAGTATCAAAACATCACTAGTGACTTTTAAGAAATGAAATTAATCCTGTCACAAATAATAAAATTACAGCACCTAATGACTCAAGTCTATGACTCAAGAAAAGCCTTTTAAAAAATCAAAACATTAACTACTGATTATTTGCATTAATGGAAAACTACTAAGTCAAATAATGAAAATTTTATACAAAACTTTACACTAGATCACCTACCTATCTTGAACATATATATAAAATTATTATAGAAAATTTGCTAATTACCATAATTCTTAAGCACTAGAATAGAGAATTTAGAAATCAAATATTTTTCTTCTTGTGAGAATCCTAACCTCATCTTCATACAGATCATTATTCATCAGCTCTCTTGTCCAATGGCTGGATTACTTACCCTCTAAGACTGTTCCTATAACATCCTGAATAGTTTGTTGGGATATTTTTCTATCTGAATTAAATTTGCCTTTTTGGCCACTTTTATCTATGTATCAGAGATCTGTATTGAAGAATGTCTCAGAATAAGTCTACTGTGAGATTAGGAATTGATACTGATTTTATTACAATAAGTATAGCGAAGTTTACACACTTATTTAAGAATGTAAGTACTGTTTATGTACTTAAATTCTATAGTCATAATATAACAAATTAGTTACAAGTCTTTTAACTAGATTTATACCCTTTATGGAGTAACAAAGTTTGGCAGTGTTGAGAATATGAAGTAAAACATTTTCCTAGATTATGTAATGCAGGAGTCTTTTATATGGTTACCATGATAATTCATTTTTTTAAAAAGGTAAAGAACTTGGTAAAAGTTATTCTTAACTACTACAAGGTCCCAATTGATTTCTTACCCAGTCCAGCAGTTGTATTGCCTTCACTATGGGCAGCTCGGAGCTGTGCCACCAGATCTGCACTGTCATAGCCTGCGTTGTCAGCTATAATAGTAGGCAACTATGAAGTGGAGAAGACAAATGGTTACTATCTATTCTAGTATAATTCATTTATGCCTGCCCTGGCCGGTGTTGTCGAGTGGTTAGTATCAGCCCAAGCACCAAAGAGTCGAGGGTACAATTCCTGATCAAGGGCATGTGCCTGGGTTGTAGGTTAGATCGCTGGCCCCGGTTGGGGCAAAAAAAATCCTTGGGTGAAGATTAACAATAACAAAAACAAAAAACATTTATGCCTAACTAGGATAGCTTTTTAAAAATACATAACACTGTAAAATCTGCTTCCTTTTAATCACTACTCAAAGAGGATAAACTTCAGAATCAAATTTGGTTATTTTAATCCCCACTTGAGGATATTTTTCCCATTGATTTTTAGAGAGTGAAAGGGAGAGACAGACAGAGAAACACCGATGTTAGAAGAGACACATCGATTGCTTGCCTCCCACATGCCCTTGACCAGGGCCGGAGCCTGCAACCGAGGTACATGCCCTTGACTGGAATTGAACCCAGGACCCTTCATTCCGCAGGCCTACGCTCTATCCACTGAGCCAAACCAGCTAGGGCCAGAATCAAATTTTTTTGTTTTGTCAATCCTCACCCAAGGATATTTTTCCATTGGTGTTTAGAGAGTGAAGGGGGGGGGAAGGGGAGAGAAAAAGAAACATCAATGTGAAAAAGAGACATCAATTGGTTGCCTCTAGCACAAGCCCTGACCGTGTGCAGGCTGGTGCTCTAACCACTAAACCACACCAGCCAGGGCCAGAATCAAATGTAAAAGTAGTGTGAACCAGTTCTTTTTCTTAAAGGCAAGAAAATAAGCATTTTGTGTCCAAGTTATAAAAATACTAGTGCCCCGTTGCATGGATTCGTGCACATTAAAAAGAAATTACATAGAAGGTGACTGGCGGGGCGGGACTGGGCGAGACAGACCGGACACACCCTGGAGCCAACCTCCCGTGGTCCCTCCCTGGCCAGCCACACCTCAAAGGGCGTCTGCAGAGTGAGTGGGATCCCTCTGGCAGGTGGGGTCCCTTGGCCTGGCCTGCAGGGATCAGGCTGAAACCAGCTCTCTGACATCCGCCAAGGGGTCCTGGATTGCCAGAGGGCGGTTCTCGGGTGATGCACCGAGAATTGGGCTCCCTCCTCTCTGGTGCCAGGGTGCGTCACCCAAGAACCGCAGCTGCCCAGTCACCACAGCTGCCAAGTCACCGCAGCTTGGCAGCTCCTGCGTTGAGTGTCTGCCCCCTGATGGTCATCAAGTGTCATAGCTACCGATCAGATGGTCCGACGGTTGCTTAGCCTTTTATATATATAGATATTTAATTAAAAACCATCAAAACCAACAAAATTTAAGTTCAGATCTCTTTTTAACTTACCATTCTCAGTGCTTTAGCATAAGACTCCATTGCAACAGCTTCTTTACCTGGTGTTTTATTGGCAAGCTGTGACACAGCATGAGCCATCAGCATCTCTGAACAGCCTATGGATTAAAAATTAAATAAAATACCATTATGCTTAGTTGTCTCGAAGACACTAAATTACTGACTTCCCTTAGATGTATCAAGCATTTGAAAATTAAGTGCAAAGGCAATATATAGTTTCTATAAGAACCATTAAAAACCACTTACAATTTATACTATACTTTAAGAAATAAAATGTTTTACCTCCTCCATAAACTGTTCTAGAATCCTTCACAGTTTGTGCAAGAACACAAAGAGCATCATGCAAAGATCTTTCCGCTTCATCTAAAATTTGTTGAGTGGCACCACGAAGAACAATAGTGCAAGCCTCACCAAGGGCTACCCCAGAAAAGTGAATGAGCGTGTCTTCTCCAATCATGACTTCCTCAATAAGCTTGCAACTTCCAAGCTTCACAAGTTCTGGGTGGTCAAAGGTAGAGGCAATTTCACCACCTACGAACATAAAAAATTGATTACTTATTATATGCCAACCACTGTTTGAAGCACCTATGAATTGGTTTAGACTTTATAACAACCTAATGAGATAGGTTCCATTATCGTTTAGAAATGATAAAATTAAGGCAAAGAGATGTTTCGTTTCTTATCCAAGGCTACACAGCTTGAACAAATAAGGTAAAGCTAGGTAGGATTCAAGTCCAAGCAGTCTGGCCTCAGACCTATATACACATACTGTATACTACAACCCACACCCTGAAAGGTTAAACTGAAACTTCAACATTTACCTTTAAGTCAGAATTTAAATACAGATTCTCTTCTGAATCCAGTCTAGAAGACCAGTACTCCTATGACCCAATTTCTCAAAACAAAAATGAGAATATTTGACTAGTCCTATTATGTCAACAGTATTATGACAACAGATGTACAATTTTTGGAACCAGCTTAAATAGGGAGCACTTGATATCTGCTAATTATCACAATAACTGAAATGTCTGAGAGTTCCTGTAATGCCTAGAAAAGGGGGAAATATATACAGAATTTCCAAGAGCAAACTTAATTGAGGTGTCAACAAAATAAACTTTGTTTTCTAGACTTGAGACCCAATAGATGTTTGGGATATCATATCCCAAAAATGAGACTAATTTGACTTTTGAGAATTTTCACTTATCCTATACTCACTCATCTACATCTGCTTACAAGGTACTTCTTGACATTTGTAAGAACCAATTTCACACACTTTGACAACATACAAGCTAATAGAATGGGAGCCACCCTGGGGTCAAATTCAGTTGGTGTGCTTAGTGCAGCAAATTTTTTTCTGAGTATATGTCTCAATTTCATGTATAGGATCAACTTATGATATCAACTTATCCCATGAATGTGCTGTCATTCACATTTCTAATGTCTTTAATTTTGTCGCAATAAAGGAGGAATTACATAAACATGAGCACCTCAAGTTTAATCACCTTAAGCATCAAGTGTGCAATGGCTTTAAAGAACTTTAATTAGAACAGGTAAACCCACTTCAAAGCAATTAATAAAAGAAAAACGCTTCTTTTTAGGTCAAAAGATTATGCTTCCCAGGTTATTAAAAATGGCTGAAGGAAACGAAACAACAAAAAAGGAAAAAAAAATGGCTGAAGAAACAACAAAAAGAGGGAAAAAAATGGCTGTAGAATTCTGAGATGAGACTAATTCTACTCTACATTCATTAGTATCCTTTAATTATTTCTAATACTCATGGCAGTTCCAAACTGAATTCAACATTCCTGGTGGCTTTACTTCCCAAACCCCAATCTCCTCAATTCTCACTGCCAGATCCCAACCCAACTTTCCAACCTATTCATCCATTTTCAAGAGCATGAAAATTCAAATAGAAATTTTTAATACTTAACCTTATCTGTAAACACAATTTCTATTTCACACAACTGGGATATCACTCATAACTGGTGTTGGAGTATACTAACTTTTCATCATACATTGCCGAACTGTTTCACACTATTTCAACATTTATTGCTTTCAGAAATGTTTAAAAAATAATAAAAACAATGTTTAAATTCTTGACCCACTCTTTGGTATATTGTTAAGTGTTCAGTAAATATTCTATCATAATTGTACCACCATGCAGGGCACAAAACATTAAACTACTCACTTAGCACTAGAAATAAATAAGTTAATAAACTACATAAGACATATCCTTTTTTTAAGCTCCAGCTTATAGACTTTATGTTTAGAACAGTGGTCCTGTGAGTTTGAGAAATAATGTAGTATGAATCTTTAAAACAACACAACAAAAAGAAATCTATACCAACAGTAAGCCTGACATGTAATTTAATTTCTGTAATAAATAAAAACATAATACACTAGTTAGACTGGATAACCTTCCGGACGAGGGCTGCGAGGGAAGGCTGGGTCCAGATGCCAGAGGGAAGCTGGTGCCGGCAGCCAGGGCTAGAAAGGCCTACTCTTGCACAAAAGAGACATCAATTGGTTGCCTCTAGCACAAGCCCTGACCGTGTGCAGGCTGGTGCTCTAACCACTAAACCACACCAGCCAGGGCCAGAATCAAATGTAAAAGTAGTGTGAACCAGTTCTTTTTCTTAAAGGCAAGAAAATAAGCATTTTGTGTCCAAGTTATAAAAATACTAGTGCCCCGTTGCATGGATTCGTGCACATTAAAAAGAAATTACATAGAAGGTGACTGGCGGGGCGGGACTGGGCGAGACAGACCGGACACACCCTGGAGCCAATGTGTTGACCAGCATGGCTCAGTGATTGAGCGTCGACCTATGAACCAGGAGGTCATGGTTCGATTCCTGGTCGATCAGGGCACATGCCCAGGTTACTCAATCCCCAGTGGGGGGTGTGCAGGAGGCAGCAGATCAATGATTCTCTCTCCTCATTAATGTTTCTCTCTCCCTCCCTCTCCCTTCCTCTCTGAAGTCAATAAAAATATATTTTAAAAATAATAATGGAGGTGGGAGCAGGTGGGTAGAGGTCAATGGTGGAAAAAGGAGACATATGTAAAACTTTCAACAACAATTTTAAAATAAACAAACAAACAAACAAACAATGTAACTAAAGATATCCAAAAAGTTTAAATCAGATTTCAGAATAACGGTTTATACTCCAAACTCCTTAAAGGGATTTCTTTGTACTCTCAGCAATGAGTTACATATATAGTTGACCCTTGAACAATAGGGTTTGAACTGCATGGGTCCACTTATGAGTGAACTTAAAAAACTGGATACGTGCAGTTCAAACCCATGTTATTCAAGGGTCAAGTTTTTCCATTGCAGTTGGGTGTGAAGGGCTAACTATTATGTTTTTGTGAATTCAAGTTATATGGGATTTTTGACTGCCCAGGGTTGGGAGTTGACTCCCCTAATCTGCCCTGTGTTGTTTGAGCCAACTGTACTAAAACTCAATTAATCCAAGAATGATTATTATGTTTGAAAGAAATTAGTGACTTTTCCCCATACCTGTGACAAGAGCCAGGCGTTCTACACCTGCAAAATCTGCATGTTCAATAGCCATAACACCAGCAGCACCAAAGAGCTGTTCAGGATAATTATAAATTAATTGCCTATAAATAAAATACATAAATACATTGTTACTTCACAAGATAAAATACATTAGACTAAAAAAAAAAAATCTTTACCGCAACAGAAATCAAAGAAATGCAAATTAGAAGATACCATTTCTCAGCTGTACAATAATTTATAAATTTTAATACATCCATGCTAGTATTAAAAACAGGTGTTCCTTTACACCAGTGTTTCTCAACCTTCCTAATGCTGTGACCCTTTAATACAGTTCCTCATGTTGTGGTGACCCCCAATTTCATTGTTACAAATTGAACATAATTAAAGCATAGTGATTGCCCTGGCTGGTTTGGCTCAGTGGACTGAGCGTCGGCCTGTGAACTGAAGGGTCCCGGGTTCGATTCCGGGCAGGGGCACATGCCTGGGTTTCGGGCTCAGTCCCCAGTGGGGAGCATGCAGGAGGCAGCCGATCAGTGATTCTCTCTCATCACTGATGTTTCTATCTCTCTCTTCCTCTCCTTTCCTCTCTGAAATCAATAAAAATATATTTTTTTAAAAAGCATAGTGATTAATCACAAAAACAATATGTAATTATATATGTGTTTTCCTATGGCCTTAGGCAACCCCTGTGAAAGGGTTGTTTGACCCCCAAAGGGGTCGCGACCCAAAGGTTGAGAACCGCTGCTTACACAGTCAAACCTCAGTTCTTGAACATCTTCCATCTTGAAAAATTTGATTCTGGACTAAGTTGTTCAGGGAAAAAATGTGTTAAGTTGTCAAGCCAAGCTTCTTGTTGAGGAACCAAACTTTAGACCTGACAACCCTTTCAGCATGACAAAAAAGGTCTCAGGCAACCAAGGAGAGAATGCTTTTGATGCTGGGTCAGTCTATGATTAGCGCAATTTTAAAACATAAAGAGGCCATTAAGAGTGCTAATGTTGCTAAGGGTGCGAAAGAAATGATGACAGGTAATTGAAGAGGTAGAAAAACTGTTGATTTGGATAGCAGTTAGCCAGTGACAGCATTTCAGAGGCAGCCATATATGAAAAAGCAAAGATGCCTCATACTGACTTCCTGAAACTCCTGGAATGAGTGTAAAAGTTATTCATGTAAGGCTAGAAGGGGGTGCTTAGATAAATTTTTTTTAAAGTGATTATATATTAAACAATACATTAGACATGTACTATATAAAACAAAGGTTAAAAAGGAATCATTTGAGAATCTGGAACTAAGGATTAATTCAATTTACATTATTTCTAATGGGAAAAAATGATTCCGTTTTCGAACAAATCACTTTCCAAACAGCCTTCCAGAATGAATTAAGTTTAAGAACCAAGGTTCCACAGTATTGCTACTGGTAGTATAAACTGGAAAGCAATTTAACAGTAATGCAACAAAACCATGCCAATATTCATATGCTTTAATTCCACTCCTAAGAATCTACAACAAGAAAATTTGGTATTAAAGCATGTAATGATGATATCTGTAATAATTTTTACATAGAATAACAAAATTTGCCAGTGATGCAATGTCCACTAGGAGAGTGCTTGTATAAATCACAATTTACAAATTATAGAAAGTCTGTAATTCTAAGTAAAAACTATAGATTTAAAAAGTGAGGTACAAGTTTACAGCTTATGAAATTAGACTACCACACATACAGACACACACAAAAGTCAACTTTTGTAAAGGAAAGACTTTCTGACTAAGACCCTAGATTGTTACTTCTTTATACTTTTCTATTTTCCAAAATGAACATATATTACTTTTACAACAGGAGTAAAAAGAACATCTGTTTAAAAGTTTGTAAGTTTTTTAAAAAGCAAAATTATAATTAGTATACACTAATGCACTGCTAGGCAAAATGTCTTATCAGATTCACAGATTACATAGTTTAGAAACTTACTTTTAAAAAGCCCACAAACATTTAGCCTAAAACAATTATTTTTCATTAAATATTCTCTCTCAAAGTTAACTGCAGCCATTTCACTGAAATGCGATGTTCCTCTTGGTATTTTCCCCATTCAAAACAATCCATAAAAGCCTTCGTTACTGACAATTAAGAATACATGAAAAAGGTTTACATATATTTTTTCATACAAATTAAAAGAAAAGCCCTGCCCTAGTTGGTTTGGCTCAGTGGGTAGAGCGTCGGCCTGCAGACTGAAGGATCCCAAGTTCTACGATTCCAGTCAAGAGCACATGCCCAGGTTGCAGGCTCGATCCCCTGTAGGGGGCATGCAGAAGGCAGCCGATCAATGATTCTCTCTCATCATTGATGTTTCTCTCTCCCTCTCCCTTCCTCTCTGAAATCAATAAAAATATATTTTTTTAAAAAGCCCTAGAAATTCTTAATATTTTCATCTCTTCATTGTTTTATCTCTATGCTTTTAGCTTTTTGCTACTTCAAACTCCCATCATTTAATACGAAATTAACTCCCTCCTCCAAATATATGCATACTATAGCGAAAACTATAGCATATCTGCCAAATCAGAAAATTGTTACTGTTAACATAAAAAGGGTTAGTAAAGTATAATCACTAAATATCACTAAAATCATTGTAATGCAAATGCCTTGTGTACAATTATATTTCTATCTGGGAAAAAAAAGCAGTTCCTAAATAAATCACTAATTCCATATAAAGTATTTCCATAAGCCTTTTTAGGAAAAAAAATCCTTTCTTAGATCGTTACAAATATTGTTGGCACAAGAATGCACAGACCTGTTAATAAAGCAATTTATCCCATGCTTAAGAATACGTTCAACTTTCTCCTTCATTTTTTCCTTTTCTGCTTGTTCTATTTCAGCAACCTTTGCTGTAGAATCAACTCTTACACGGGAACCAAATATCTAAGAGGAAAGCAGAAAAATAGTATCACTTTCATTACTCTTCAGAGTTCTGTAGCATATATATACATTTTTATGGAAACACACCAAAAAATGTGTGCATGTGCATATATTTATATATATTCTAACCTCTATGGTACAATGGATTCCCAGACCAAGTTTATAGCAGCTAGCAACTAGTTTTAAGAACTGTAAACATACCTTTATTTTGTCTGTATCCATACCAGTATTTGCAATAAGAATTTTAGCATTTTCAATTCGCTTTGGTTGATTTACTCCAATTTTTTTATCCAACAGAAAGCCTACAATATAAGGATAGTAAAATACTTCAAGGTTGAATTAATAACTCTTACAAAGTTGTCTGCTTTATCAAATTACTTTCAAAGAATGCATTTAAATCTAATTTAAGACTTTAATGCTTAGACTAAGTCTAAGCTCCTAGAACCTAGATTCTATAAAGCAGTGGTTCTCAACCTTGGCTGCACATTAGAATCACCTGGGAATCTTTTTAAAATCCTGACTTCTGGGCCTCTTTGTTATGGGGCGAGGCCACAACATTAGTAACAAAGAAACAGAATTTCCGAGGATGAGGCCCAGAAAGCAGGATTTTAAAAAGATTCCCAGGTGATTCTAATGTGCAGCCAAGGTTGAGAACCACTGCTATAAAGCATTTCAATAGAACAGTGATCACAAAAATCAATGTAGTAGGTCATTTAAAAAACACTATATGAAATGGAAAAAAAATTAGAGCACAGCACAAGTATTAATATACAGTATACTATATACACAGGAATGTGGGTTGCAATGTAAAAGTATTAAGTTCACTATTATTAGCTTAAAACCAACACAAAAGAAAACAAGTTGTGAATATTTAGATACACAATGTACTGTTAGAAATTACTGAGATAAGCCAGTCAGAGAAAGATAAATACCTCATGATTTCACTCATTTGTGGAATATAGAGAACAACATAGACTGATGAACAGGGACAGATCCAAAGACAGAGAAACAGCAATCAGACTATTAATACCCAGAGGGAAAGTAGAGGGAGGGAGGGAGCAAGGGGAAGAGATCAACCAAAGGACTTGTATGCATGCATATAAGCCAAACCAATGGACATGGACAACAGGGGGATGAGAGCATGAGTGCAGGGGGGATGGGGGTTTAATGAGGGGGATGAGGACACATTTGTAATACCTTAACTAATAAAGAATTTTTTAAAAAAAGACTTACATGTAAATTGTGATACCATAAAAGTCCTAGAAGATACCATAGGCAGTAAAATATCAGACATCTCTCAGGATGAGGACACTTTGTAATACCTTAACTAATAAAGAATTTTAAAAAAAAATTACTGAGATATGTAAAGAACTGAGGCGGGAGAGAAAATGAAAAAGCCACGGACAATGGAGTCTGACAAAACTGGCCCCAATCATACCCCTGCTGCATACAGGCTATGTATGCAACCTTAGACAACTTATTCAACCTTAGTTACTCATCTGTAAAACGGGAATATAACCAGTGGCATAGATTATTAGTTACCAGCATAGGACCCTATTGATTTAGAACTATCCTAAGAACACAGCCTCTCTCTTCAGGCTTCTTTCAGATGCATATGTAACTTTTATCTTATTAATCCACTAGAGGCCCTGTGCATGAAAATTCGTGCAGGGAGGGGTGGGTAGGTCCCTCCGCCTGGCATGCACCCTCTCGCAGATCAGGAGCCCTTGGGGGGATGTCTGACTGATGGCTTAGTCTGGCCTCCCTCTACAGGAGGCGACCCACGGGCTGATCAAGGGACTGCAGTAGCTGGTGAGGTGCCAGCCCTGACCTCCCCCATCACCCCTCCACCACTGCCGGTGGCCACCACCCCAATCGCCGTCCCCTCCCTCTGCCCGCTGGCACCCGCCTTGGCTGGCCTGGCGCCGCCTGCTCGCCAGCCCCATCCCCTGCCAACCAGTCATTCTGCCGTTCAGTCGATTTGCATACTAGGCTTTTATTATATAGGATTATCATCTTGAGTTTTCTGCTCTATTAAGCTGAGCCTAATTCTCACTATCGTAAGGAATGAGATTTTAAGTAAAATTCCTATTAGAATGCCTGGCACAGAGCAGACATTCAAAGAATGGTAGCTATCCTTGTTTTATCTTTCCCTACCACCAGCCCCTATTAGAAATGATAGAGCCCTTGCACATAAATTCAACCAAGAATATTTTAATTATTATTCCCTTTGGAAGATAAAAATGACATGCAGCAATACCTGGAAGCTAAATCACTGAAAGCAGAAATTGGAAAGCACAACTTATTCCTTTTTTCCTTCTCTATAAAAGACAATGCCTACTCCACTTTCTACAGGCCAGCTTATGAAGTAAACTCAATGGTAAAGGTACTTGGAAAATTCCTACTTTATGAACAAAATACACCAGTATAGGGAAATAGCACTTGCTAAGACTCATTTATCACTCTGAGAACACCAAGAACTATATCCTCAACACCTGCCAACTAAAAAATGATTTGACTTATTAACCCAGACCCTTCCTGAGAATCCAAGTAATCCTGGAAAATGCACCATTTGAAAACAGCTGACTTTTAGTAAAACTGTAATTTCTCTTTACTAGAGACTGAAAATATCTTCATGGTGTAAAGTAAAATCTGGATATTATCAAAGAATGTTGAGATGGTGTGAGATGAAGGACACTGTCAATTTAACAAATGGATTGAAATGACAAAAATGGTTGCAATATAATTTTTGTCCTTAAAGGCAGGTTTTCTGGCTTTGTACAGTCACTCGTCCTGACTCGCTAAAAACAGGATTCACAGTATTTAGCCTTCAACCTCTCATCAAAGCTTGTTTTCCCACATTCAACATATATACATACATACCTTCATCTAAATAGGAATCCACCAGACTTCCTCCTAGCTTCTTGATGACATGAATTGCCTCCAGATTACCAGAGTCTTTCAATCTGAGAACAGCTTCTACAGCTAACTTAGTAAAGTGATCTTTGTGATGAGTAAGAAGTTTTGAGGATAATGTTGTTCCTGCAATGTTCATTAAATCTTGGCGGAATTTATCTTCATCAGAACTATAAAACCACCAAACAAAAAAAATCATGACTTTTCTCAATGAAATGCTCAAGTTGCTTCTTCATTTTTAAATGCTTCTTCAGAGATATCAACCCTAATTTACTTTGCAAAATTTATTGGGATACATGTCTGTCAATTTCATCCCAGTCAGGGCTCACGTGGTAAGAATTAAACCACACCAATAAGCAAGAAATGCAAATTAAAGAATACTATTTTCCCCACTAAACTGGCAAACTACTAAAAAAGAAACACAAGCACACAAAAGCATACCAAACGTTGTCAAGAACATGGGAAAAAAGGCACTGTTACACAGGTAGTGGACGTGTAAATAAATGTTTTTCTGGACAATTACTTGTAAGTTAAAGCACGTACATTTGCCCGGCCGACGTTGCTCAGTAGTTGAGCATCAACCCATGAACCAGGTCACGGTTCAACTCCTGGTCAGGACACATGCCCTGGTTTCAGGCTCAATCCCCAGTAGGGGGTGTGAAGGAGGCAGTCAATCGAAGATTCTCTCTCATCATTGTCTCTCTCTCTCTCTCCCTCTCCCTTCCTCTCTGAAGTTAATAAAAACATATTAAAAGAAAAAAAAAACCACACATTATCTTTGAACGCAGCAATACTTCTTGAAGTATTTTCTTGGTAACAAGTTTGCCACAACATAAAAGTTAACACTGCATGGGTCAATCAATAACCTCTTAAACTGCTAATGGGTAAATATCCTGGATGGCTATTTGGCAGTATCCATTCAAATTTTTCCAATGCACACACCCAAGCAAACCTTGGTATCTACTCCTAAACTCCAACTACAGATAGGTAAATTATACTGTAATGATATAATCAAATGCATACCTCGATTAAAAATGTTGTACAGATACCCACAAATCTGGTTGTTATTCAACTGTGTTAAAGAGGCTAATACCCCTCTACACAATGCTATCATTTGTTTTACTTATGATTATGCAAAAAAAAAAACCCAAACTTTAACTTTAGTGGCTATCTCTGGAGCAGTGGTCGGCAAACTCATTAGTCAACAGAGCCAAATATCAACAGTACAACGATTGAAATTTCTTTTGAGAGCCAAATTTTTTAAACTTAAACTATATAGGTAGGTACACTGTTATTAACTTAATTAGGGCACTCCTAAGGCTTAGGAAGAGCCACACTCAAGGGGCCAAAGAGCCCAATGTGGCTCACGAGCCGCAGTTTGCTGACCACAGCTCTGGAGGGTAAACGTGGGGTTTTTGGCTGGGGCAAGATGAAGCAGCAAGATCGTGTTTGTGTATGTTTTTCTTGTTCTCTAGACTTCGTGCACGGAGTATACTTTGGACAGAATGTCGACTATTTAAAACAGTAGTATTTTGCTATACCAACCCATGATCAACTGCAGAATCCAACAAAGCCTGTCTTGCCGCCTTTGTTGCTTCTCTCCAACCGGCAATGATGGTCTGAGGATGAATCTTTTTTGCAATTAAAGATTCTGCTTCCTATTAATAAACAGTGGAAAATACTTGTCAATAGTAAAAACGTAGGAGGTAAGGACTTGATTATTTCTGACATTTAAAACCACAGAAGCAAAAAACAATTAAAATGACATTAAAGTTGCTCAGATAGTCTTACCCTTAGTAATTCTGCTGCTAAAACAGTAACAGAGGTAGTGCCATCACCAACTTCATCATCCTGAACCCGTGACATATCTAGAAAAAAAGTTATTAACTCACTTATATTTGATTCTGCCTTTTAAATTACTTCTCTGTAGCTTAGCTAATCCTCCAAAAATACCCACTACCAATCCAAGTTTCACTTAACTAGGTCTCCTCACCTGATAAATTCTTTGGAACTCTTCAGTCTGAAATGCAATACTTTTACTATCAATAATTAATGGCACTCCAGAAGCTTACATTTTAATAATGACAATAATTAAAAAGTGGACAACAGTTCATTAAAAGTACAATTAGTCAACATAGCCTATTTCAAATTTATTTCAAGCCCTAGCCAGGTAGCTCAGTTGGTTAGAGCATCATCCCTATACACCAAGGTTGCAGGTGCAATCCACGGTCAGTGCACATACAAAAATCAATGAATGAACGCAACAGTAAGTAGAACAACAAATTGATGTTTATCTCTCTAAAACAAATAAAAGTAAAAAAAAAAATGTTAACAAATCAGAATCATCTTCAGACTCACCAACTAAAACTTTAGCTGCTGGATTATCAACACCAATGTTTTTTAGAATAGTTGCGCCATCATTGGTCACCATAAGAGAGGCATCTCGTCCACTGCTTAAAAGAATTTTATCCTAAAAGGAACATATTTGGCTCAAGTTAAGATCTAATTACATCTTGAACCCTACATGGGTCAATCAATACCCTCATATACTGCTAATGGGTAAATCTCCTGGATAGCAATTTGTCAGTATCCACTCAAATTTTTTCAATGCATACACCCCACAAGCAAACCTTGGTCTCTACCCCTAGAAACACTAGAAGAACAAGGGAGATAGGAACAAGGTTATTTCAGCACTGTAATAGCCAAAACAATGGAAACAAACTATCACTCAATACAGTCATAAATGTAAACTATAAACGAATCAAGATGCTGAATACCATTTGACACTTAAAGAGGCAGAATTTTAACAAAGCAAGCTGCAGAAAAACTACATATAAATAATATCTACGACAAAACAAAGTATTACCTTGCAAGTATAAGAAAATACACGAGCCCTAACCGGTTTGGCTCAGTGGATAGAGCATCGGCCTGCGGACTCAAGGGTCCCAGGTTCGATTCCGGTCAAGGGCATGTACCTTGGTTGCGAGCACATCCCCAGTGGGGAGTGTGCAGGAGGCAGCTGATCGATCTTTCTCTCTCATCGATGTTTCTAACTCTCTATCCCTCTCCCTTCCTCTCTGTAAAAAATCAATAAAATATATTTTAAAAAAAAGAAAATACACGATACGTAAGATACACATATATTTACATAAATGAACAAAAATACTGGGAAGATTTACATCCCAGTGGTAACAGGGGTGGGAGGTAGGAACGAATGGGACTTCAGCCATATGACTACTGTTTTGATTTTTAGTAAGAAAAATATATCCATGTCTTACCTGTATAATTAAGGGTTAAATTTGAAAGATTAAAAAGCATTAAAAAATGTTATTTACTATGTATGTTTCCACTAAGGGCTCTAAAACAATATCAAAACATAAAAATTCCGTTTTTCTCACCATGCCTTTGGGTCCCAAGGTGCTCTTTACCAAGTCTCCAATAGCAATGGCACCAATAAAGGAAGACTGGAATAATGACCAAAGAGATTGTAAAAATCAATTCTAGTCTTAAAATTGTAAAAGTACAACTTTATCTTTAAATGAATGAGGAAAACAAGTTTCACCAGACGAGCTGTCTCTGCTCTCTCTTCATCAGCGCCAGCCTTGAAGATGTTGACAGGTGCAAGAGAAAGGGACGCCTAAAAAGAAAAATCAAAAATCAGTTTGAATACCAATAATCTTTTAAAATATTTTTAATTTCATCTTTTATATTTCAACTAGTGGCCCAGTGTATGAATTCGTGCACATTTAAAGGAAATTAATTAGAAGAAATATTTTAATATTGCTATTCGCCTTTCTCTATAATAGAAGTGTCAACCAAATTCACGATCGACAATGACAGATTGAAACACACGTGTGCGATTGGCGCCAGTGAGAGCTTTTATGTGTGAGTCAACTTAGCCCAGTGGTTCTCAACCTTGGCTGCACATTAGAATCACCTGGGAATCTTTTTAAAATCCTGGTTTCTGGGCCTCATCCTCCGGAAATTCTGTTTTTTTTGTTACTAATGTTGTGGCCCCACCTCATAACAAAGAAACAGAATTTCCAGAGGATGAGGCCCAGAAATCAGGATTTTAAAAAGATTCCCAGGTGATTCTAATGTGCAGCCAAGGTTGAGAACCACTGGGCTAAGTTGACTCACACATAAAAGCTCTCACTGGCGCCAATCGCACACGTGTGTTTCAATCTGTCATTGTCGATCGTGAATTTGGTTGACACTTCTATTATAGAGAAAGGCGAATAGCAATATTAAAATATTTCTTCTAATTAATTTCCTTTAAATGTGCACGAATTCATACACTGGGCCACTAGTTGAAATATAAAAGATGAAATTAAAAATATTTTAAAAGATTATTGGTATTCAAACTGATTTTTGATTTTTCTTTTTAGGCGTCCCTTTCTCTTGCACCTGTCAACATCTTCAAGGCTGGCGCTGATGAAGAGAGAGCAGAGACAGCTCGTCTGGTGAAACTTGTTTTCCTCATTCATTTAAAGATAAAGTTGTACTTTTACAATTTTAAGACTAGAATTGATTTTTACAATCTCGAGCAAGTGTGTTCCTGGGCTGAAGAAACTGCAAGGAGGCTAGTCGCTAGGAAGAGGAAGCCGGGTGTTGCTATGTGACATCATTACGTCATTACCCGGAGGAACACTTAGCATATTAGCCTTTTATATAGAGTTGACATTCAGTATTATTTTACATTAGTTTCAAGTGTCCAGCATAGTGGTTAGACATTTATAGAATTTAGAAAGTGATCCACGGGTTAAGTCTAGTCCCACCTGAAAGCCAATATTCGTTAATACATATACTTAGATGTCTTCCATTAGACTTACAAGAAGGTAGACAAGAAAAGATTAATTTACAGGACTGTACTTTTTCAAACACATGGAAGTTCATCATCCAGGCAGTCATTTATTAAAGGGGGAGGCGGGAGGGACTTCTAAAAGCTGCATAAGGAAGGCGACCTTTTATTTTGGATACACAACTGCTCCAGGAATAAAAATTACACACTGAAGAGACTGTCAAGAACAGCAAGACTAAAGATGATTTTAATCTAAGAATAAATCAGGCAGGATTGTAGGCCGCTAACGGACCAAGCGCCAGGGGAGGAGGGGCAGCTCCCTCCCCGCTGCTCCGGCTCCGCCCGAGGAAGGCGGGGCCAGTCTCGCCGACCCGGGCCCTAGAAATTTCTCCGCGGGAGGTGCGCCCCTGGCCTCGGAGTTCCGGGGCTGTGGAGAGGCCCTGGCA